GGAAAAGGCAATAGAAAATATTGCTATATTATCTTCATAGATACATATTTTGCTAGTAATTTATTTCAAACTTAGTTCAAACCTTTCTGAAGTAGTCATCACTGAGTATTGTTGTATCCTATAAGGCATCCCTGCAAACCTAATGTCTGATGCTTGCAACATGACGTAAAGGCAGTTAGAGATATAATTCCATACAATATAGATATAAAAATGCTGTTATTTGACAAATACATAGAGGCTAATAAACAGCATAATTTTCCTAAAACAGGCAAATCAAAGTCAGTGAAGATTATCCTTGACTACGGCAGGTGTAACCATCGGCTGGTTACACTTCAGCCACTCTGAGGCCACTAGGCTGTTTTTAGAATTTTATTCCTGCCATGTGCTTATTCAGGATCACTGCCACTAGAGAAAGAGTAATTTTAACTGCCATGAACAGAGTATATATGAAGCTTGGACTGTAATGAAGTGAGCCTGGTTCATTGATGTCTACTGACTTGATACATAAACATTTGCCATGACTTGAGTGACTCTTATCTTATGTCAAAGAAACAAAAAGAAAGAAACAAAGAAACAAAGAAACAAACAAACAAAGAAATAAACAGAGAAACAAAACCTATTCATTATTCTAGTTGTCAGTCCATATACAGTACATGGACCTATAAATTCCAGCCATGACAGCTTAGAGTCTGGTTGTGGACTACAGACTGAGGGTGTTTGCCTTACCATGGTGGGCAGCTTTTACTTGTTTGAATACACGTTTCATGTTATAATAATACTAAATGTGCCTGGTTCACTGAGTTTACTAAATACTTCAATAGTAAATTGCAGAACTAAGATGAAACTTGTCCACCACACTAACATACTCTTGCTCTCAGAATTAAATGTTTTCAGTTCTTTTTGGACCAAAAACAGAACTGTGTGCATTTGTAGTGGATATAAATGTTGCACTGAATTCACCATTGAAAATAATACTGTCACTCCTTCTCTCATCTCAACATCTACCAAAAAAGTTGGTTTTCTAATGAGAAACCGCAATGCATTGCTTTGTAATTACTCTAATGAAGAAGAGTAAAAAGAATGCAACCTAAAACAGTGTTGGTGCTAAAAATATAATGGTGTTTGTGATTTGGTGGTAGCTTGTGGGCTGAGGCTGTAAACCAGCAATCAGATGCTGGTTCATATCCTGCTTTTGAAACCCAAAGAAAGTCAACATTCTATTGGACTGCTGCCTTTTCAGCAGCGCTTGAACTATTTCTGACCACTACTTTTGTAAAAGTGTTTAAGTGAGACATTGTACTCGGTTACTAACGTAACCTCGGTTCCCTGAGATACGGGAACGAGTACTGCGTCTTGCTTAAGACGCATATGGGAAAAAAGATATGGAAACAGTAGAAGGAATGTTAATAGATTTACTGTCTTTACCAGAGGGTTCAAATGAACTTTCATCAACAGCTATTCTGAAGGTAGAGGGTGGAGAGAGGTCAAGCAGTGGAGGGCGTATAAGGGGAGGTGCTGTTAACTCAGACTCCGACCTGTCTTTGTGCCTTGGACCCTCCTCAGAAACAGGCTCTTCAGGGTGCCCACTTGACTTTGGGGATCCATAGAGCAAATCCTCAGCAGCAATAAGCAAACTTCTGTCGGGGAGTGGCTCCCCTGAAAACTCGATCACTTCCTGCCCCTTTGATTCAGTTTTGATCGAATGGAGGCTCATTGGCAGTGGTGGCCCACCTGGGGTTGCAGGCTCGGACTGATACTCCATTTTGAGGACACCATTTGGAATTCTGGTTAAATCAGGTATAGCAGACACGGCAGATTTCTTTTGTATTATCTCCTCTAACTTTTCAGCAGTGTAACATAATTTGTCCTTATTGTCAGTCAACTGTTTGCGTTTAAATTTGTGAACCCTAATATAATGTCGATTCAAACTATGCATGCTCATGACTACGGAGTCACAATTCTGTACCATGCAAGGGAATGCCACAAGAAGGCAGCGGTCCTGACACATCTGCAAAGCCTCCTCATGTGTTCGGAAGACAATCAGGTCAAATCCTTTTTTTAGTTTGATTTTTGGTGTCTTAGGTACTTCGTCCAGTTCCTCCTCTGCAGTTTCTTCAATTGACTCAAAGTTCTCATCAGACTGAGAAATTTCCTGATCTTTGAGGCAGCATCTCAAACGTTGCCGCAGATCAGGATGATGCCTGAGGCGTCAAGTTCAACGCAAACTTGGGTCGGGGACCCTGGCACTTAGGAAGAAGGTAGCGCTTGGCTGAGCGAGAGCGTCCCCGCGTCTGCTGCGCTTTAGCGGGCTGAACGGCGGGGGCGGCAGGTGCTGGTTTCACGGGCTGCTGAGTCGGCGCATTTAGGGCGAGCTGAGGCAGCAGCGGAGCTGGAACGCTTAGGCAGGAAATGTCGCATAGCCTGGAACGATTTCTGTGCCTCTGTGAAGCGTTCAGCGAATCCTTCGACCACTGGGCCGAAAAGACCTTTGGGAGAGACTGGAGCATCGAGGAAGGGGATCTTATCCGCGT